AATGATGATGCATTTATATACCGTCACCGTCACTCACAGCCGCTCGCACGTGTTTTGTGCATGAGCCGCACGCAGCCCAAAATTAAACGACTTAATCGACCATCGATAGCTTTAATCGATTGCATCTCTTATCAGCAATTAATCGATCATCGATTAATCGTTGACATCCCTACTTTACAACAAATGGCCAAGCAAAGCGCACGACACTGACAAGGTACGCGATACAGTACGAGACCAAACGCCATTTCAGCACGTCTCCTACTTCACACTGCAGTGAGCTGACCGCAACGTGCCCAAACCTTTGTAGCTTGAATCCACTGTAATTCTAATGACACAATTCATATTTCACATTTAGCAGCATTGATTACTAAATGCTCCAGTTCTAAGAGCAGTAATGTGCTCCTGCTGGCCACATGACCTAACGGTTATCCAAACATTGGCTGCTGCTTGATATGTAATTATTTATTCAAATTCAGAGAATCAAATTGTGTTGAATTTTTGTTATCTTTATTAGCTTGACATCACAATTTGAGTCTGTAATTGCAAAGTGGCCTTATTCTGCTTAGATTTTTTAAATGGATGAAAATTTGTCATTAAACTATACAGTACATGAATATACAGTAAGATGAAGGTACCACAGCTGTTTCTGGTTTCTCTTTTATTTGTATTTACATTTGTATTTTACAGCTTGGATTTTAGTTATAAAATTTCCCCCTTGTTCAAAAGTTTGGGGTCTTTTTATCAAAGAATCCTGAAAAATATATGACAGTTTCTTCAAAAATATTAAGCAGAACAGCTGTTTTCAACATTGATAATAATAAGAAATGTTTCTTGAGCACCAAATCAGCACATCAGAATGATTTCATGTGATATTGAAGACTGAAGTAATGGCTGCTGAAAATTCAGCTTTGCATCACAAGAATAAATGTAATTTTTAAATATATTCAAATAGCAAACAATGATTTTAAATTGTAATAATATTTTACAATATTACTGTTTATACTTTATTTTTTTTTATCAAATAAATGCAGACTTGATGGGCAAAAGAGACTTCTTTTAAAAACATCAACAAATCTTGCTGACCCCAAATGGTAGTGTATGAATCATTTTTGAAAGCAAGTGTACAATGCTTCAGCAGAGGCGGGCATTAACTTACACTCTATTTCACACTTTATTTTCGTATCAGTTTGCATACATGCTAAACCCACTTGTTAAAGTGGCCTTCCTGTTTTAGTTTTTTTCCCTCTTCCTCCTTTTGCTTGATGCTTTATTTTGCTAGTTGACACACCACAATGCCAGTTGAGTGGTTGCACTGGGCAAATTTATTCATTTTGTTTCAAATGGCCCTGATAATAAACCCTCACTAAATGTCAGTTTAATATTGTAACATGAATAATGATGTGTTTTGACTTTTGTCAACATGACACTTTATTTTGTACTTGTAGGAACTGTGTCTTTCAGAGAAGATGGGTGAAGCTTGAAGGAGGAAATCTCACTTACTACAACAGCGATAAGGTGACACGCACACACACATATTCGCAAATTCTCACACACAACAGGGCTCTGCCATGTCATGTCCTTGTTTCAGTTTGAATGGGGAGAGCAGAGACAAGCCTAAAACCCTGGTGTCAGTTTCAAACTCAGCATGTACAATCAGTTCAAAGTATCTCAGAGCGTCCAAACTGCTGCAAATCCCTCTCTTAATTTTCACTTCCAGTGGGATAAACCTAAAATGTTCTTCCATAGCTGTCGACAGTCACTCACTCTTTTTGCAGATATAGTATTATCGCAGTAGGACAGAAACAGCACTGGTTGCAGGAACAGGGTGATATTATCAGTGTAAAACAGTGGGGGTAGAGGACACTGTAATAGAGACGGAGGGGGCATTGGGTGAACCTGCGTGTACCATGCTTTTGTCTTTCTTTTAGTCTTTTAAGCCTAATCAAAAGAGGAGCATCAGTGGAGCGGCCTGTTATAGCTTTCAAACATACCAGTCGCTCTTTCCTTCTTACTCTTTCCCTTTTCATGCCCTGTTTACTTGTTGACATATAATTGTGAGATATTATTACAATTTAAAGTAACCGTTTTCTGTTTTAATATATATTTTTTTGTTTTAAAATGTAATTGATCCTTCAGAAATCATTCTTATATGCTGATTTGCTGCTTGAGTAACATATCTTATTATTATTAGGGATGCACCGATACCACTTTTTCCAGTACTCGCCCGATACCGATACTGTTATTTTTGGTACTTGCCGATACCGAGTATTTTTATTGCATTTGTAGATTTTTTAAATATTGGGTACAGAAACCAAAAGTATATCCTTCGGTTATTTTCACACTTAATTATGCCCATTAAAATGTATTTTACAAGTTTTTGTTACTTTCACTGTTCATTTTTTGCTCTATGGTACATCATCTTTAATTTAACCAGTATCGGTATCGGTGCATCCCTACTATTAATAAGCAGCAAATTAGGAGTTTATTGAGGCAAAAGTCGTAGTTAATGGTTTGTTAATAGCAAGAATTAAACCTTAAAATAAAGTGAGACCAAAAATTGCATTGCCCTTAAACATTTGAACGGTAATGCAAATATATCTTATAAATACAGTTAGGTCCATATATTTGGACACTGACACAATTTTCATAATTTTGGCTGTGTATGCCACCAGAATAGAATTAAAATGAAACGATCAAGATGAAATTGAAGTTCAGACTTTAAGCTTTAATTCAAGGGGTTGAACAAAAATATAACATAAAATACTTATGAATTACAAACATTTTTATACACAGTCCCCCCATTTTCAGGGGCTCAAATGTAATTGGACATATAAATGTAATCATAAAAAAATGTTCTTTTTTAATATTTTGTTGAGAATCCTTTGCAGGCAATGACTGCCTTAAAGGTGCAGTAGGAGATCTTGGAAAATGCTAACTTTAACCTGATAGCACTGTAAGCGAATGTCCCACCCTCCCTGCAAATCACTGTCCAAAGCCACTCCCCCTGAACGCATACACACTCACATACCAGAATACCAGAGACAACATTACTAAAATACATCATGTGTCATTCACCAGTGAGATAACTTTATACAGTTAGTAAAAGTACTACAATACCAGGGAAGAAGGTCGGGTTGTTGATGTTTGTTCTCGCTCTGTCTGCACAGCGTACGTGAACGCGCTGATGACGTATCCTGTCTGCGCGAACCAGGTGCGCAGAGGTATGCAAATTCATATGTTGACAGGCAGGTAGGAAAGTCAAAAAAAATGCTCGGAACGAGCGTTTTTTTAGATGTTTTTTGGCAAAGTCTAATCTGGCCTTGTTTGCACCTTGTGGTGAACCCTCTGTATTTGCTCTTGTGAAGTCTTCTCTTGATTATAGACTTTGACAGTGACACACCCACCTCCCGGAGAGTGTTCTTCTCTTGGCTGGATGTTGTGAAAGGGTTTTTCTTTACCATGGAGAAGATTCTCCGATCGTTGTCCTCCGTGGACGTCCAGACCTTTTTATGTTGCTGAGCTCACTAATGCGTTCTTTTTCTCAGAATGTACCAAACTGTTGATTTGGTCACTCTGAATGTTCATGCTATCTCTCTAATGGATTTGTTTTGTTTTTGAAGCCAGAAAGATCAGAGAGTGCACTTTAAGCCTGTATTCATTATATAACTGCAACTTGAATATGTTTTGGTCAGCAGCTAAAATAATAAAAATTGTGCCTGTGTCCATATATATATATGCTCTTAACTGTATATCTTGCCTAGAGAAACAAGTTAGTCAAAACTTCCTAGTATAATGCCACTTAATTTAGGAATTATAGGAAACATATTTTCCATTGTCAGTATCCACTCCATCACATTTAAGAGGCTGATTTAGTGGTAGCATTTAGCGGTAAGTGTGCATAGTAAGCACAAGCTCTCTGGGTTCCCTGGGTCTTCTAAATTAAGACAGGCTTCTTTGCAATGACATCATGCATTAGGAGTTAATGGTGACTTTTGCATTCATAACTAAATGTTTTGTGTGAGTGGTGGCCACAATGAAGCTCTGCTGTGGTGTTTTGTGCAGTTGCTAGGACATTAAAAAGTTGGTCCTCTGAGCAGTTTTTATTGCACTTATGTTTGTTTGTTTGGTGGTTGCTTACTGGTTCCTTCTATATATTAAAAATAAAGAAAGCAACAGAATTTGCCTTAACAAGCATCACTTATCAAGAATACTAAGGAAAGTTTCAAAGAAAGTTTCCTCCAACTTATTGTCCTCAGCGGGCACATTCTCTCCTCAGTCTCTTTTCTCTGATTGAAATGGTTAATCTCAATCACTGCTCGCTTCTTGACATCACATAATGACGTCATCAATCAGAGACCTCCTTAAGCGTGGGAGAGAAGCAAGCACGGCACTCCCACTGGATCTCTGTAGGACCCTCGGGGACAAACTTACCTGATGTTTCATCAACCTTGCGACCAGGTCTGTGACGTCTAGGGATCCAAGTAACACTTTCATGAGTTTTAGTTTGTATGTGTGAGTGAGAGAGGTTTAGAGTGTTACCTGTCAGTAGGCAGGGTGTGTGGAGATGTTTGGGTTGGGAATGGGATCAGTTACCTTGTATCTGAAGTACAACTGTGTGGAAAATCCAGAAAAGCTCAAAAGTCCCCTGGGAGCGCCAGTGGAAAGCTTTCTCACCACCCACCCCCGGGTTTTGATGGTTGTAGTCCATCCAACTTAGGGCAAAAGTGAGCTTCCCATGATCTGCAACTTATACACTACCTGTCAAATAGCTGATTAAAAAAAAAAATGTTTTTGAAAGAAGCCTCTTATGCTCCTCAAGGCTGCATTTATTTGATCAAAAATACAGTAAAACAGTAATATTGTGAAATATTACAGTACAATTTAAAATAACTGTTTTCTACTTTAATATATTTTAAAATTTAACTGAATTTCAGCAGCCATTGCTCTAATTTTCAGTGTCACATGATTAAGAAATAAAAAAAAATATATATATTTTTTATTTTATTTTGCAAGGTCAAAATAAATTGATCAAAAATGACAACAAAGTCTTTTATAATGATCTAAAAAAGATTTTTCTTTTCAGATTTTTATTTATCAAAGAATCCTGCATGATGGTTTTCACAAAAATATTAAGCAGCAAAAAATGGTTTTCAGCATTAATGACCATAAGAACCAGTATTAATAATTGACCACCAAAATTAATTGATAATAACTGAGTATCAAATCAGTGTATTAGAAAGATACCTCAAGGATCATGTGACACTGAAGACTGGAGAAATGGCTGGAGTATTACATCACAGTAATGCATTAGTTTTTAAATATATTAAAATAGAAAAGAGCTTTCAAGACTTCTTTCAAGAACATAAAAAAAAATCGTAATTATTTCAGAGTTTTGATGGTAGCGTATGGCAGAAGATCTTCTAGAATGCTACATTCAGCTGTGTGCTTTTGGCTAGTGTAGGATGTTGCAAAAAATGCAAATGCATCATATTTCTCACATTATATTTCTGCACACCATACATTTACAAGTAATTTTCCACACTCAAGTGCATTAGCTGCCCTCTGCCAGGTGGTGTCCCCATGGCTCCACTGCAGAACTAAACCAGTGCTGGTAAAAACAAATGCTAATGACATTACAGGCACTCTCTGGTTCTCTCTGAACGAATGCAGACTTCATCAGTCAACTCTATCGCACATTCGGATGTATGTGTTCATGAACATCAAAGTGCATATATAGAACAACTGCTGTGAGCGTGACACATCGTCACAGATTTGCACAAGCCATACAAATAAATCCTGCTATAAACTTTTTGTGCAGCGTACGTCTTTGTTATATGTGTGTTTGTATAAGCACACACCAAAGTGCTTAAACCATCTCTAAACTCTTAATGGACGCACTTGCGTTTGCACATGTACTCTTTAAGCCCCCTTCATCGTTCCGACCCTGAAAATTGTAATTATAATGAATAATTAACGCCAGCTTAGAGAGCTCCTCATTATTGCCACTTAGCTTCCTATAAACATGCACACCTCTTCACTTTTATCCCCCTTTCCTCTCATCCGCTGCTGTCCAGATTTTAGACAGAGGAAGTCTCATTAATATGCCGGCGAGTTCAGCGGTGGGAAGGATACAGAATTGGAGAGAGTGAGCAAGGAGTGAAATCCCGGAGAGAGGTGATGGCTGCCCCCTACCATAATTAGGGTTAGCTGCAGCCATCGTTGTTAACATGCTGCCTTAATTTGAGGAGATGGTGCTCTCTCTGACCCCTCTTTCTCTCTCTTTCTTGCTCGCAATCTTACGCTCCCTCCGCTTTGTGAGTTTCTCTTCCTTCATCCCTTGGTTCATTCTCTCTCTATCAAGCAATCCCTAAGCTATCATATCCCTCTCTTTCTCGTTCTCTCTACTTTCTCGCTTTCTCTCCCTCATCGGCTCTCTTACTGTCTATCTTTGGCATTACCTCTTCCATTTGCGCCAGCTGAGGAGGGGGTCCCTCACTAAATCTTCTCTTCTATTTCTGTATGGACGAATTCTAGAAATAGTGCAAGGTCATCATAATAATTAACAGCCAACTGAAATGGACAAATTAATCTTTCTTTTTTTCCCTCTTTCACTCTTTTCCCTTGTCTTTTGTCCCTGTCTTTGTCGCTCACTCTAGCCTTATTCCTAAACCCAGTGAACTACATCACTTCTTACTGTCAACATAGGCAGCTCCTTTCTAAGGTATCCTAACTGAAGTGAAACCTCATAACCGAGTGTTTTGGAACGGCCTACACAGGTGCAATTTATGGATTATACAAATAACACTCTAAGAGTATTAAAATGAATCACGCAACGTGATTTACTAATGTTTGCGCTAGTCAAATTACTGGTATTTGCACCATTAAAGCTTAAAGTAGGTGGTAATTTGCGCTGCTCTTGGTAGATTGCACTGGTCATTATAGAAATAATATGGCTGCATTTGTGTTCTTTAATGTGCGCATTGTCAGTAAATCATCCGCAGAATTTTCCCCTCCGATCGGCGCTTTTTGTGAAATTACACTCTAACGCTAATTTGCCCTTGTTTAGAAAATCTGGCACTAAAAGTAATAATGCTTTTATCATTTTGCAGTGCATTATGGAATTGCCTTCTTCGTAAAGCGATGTATGCAATGCTACCTTAATATTCAACCAAAACAGGATTGCTTAATTAAAATGTCTATCTTTTAGAACAGACTTGTCACCTATGTTGCCTAAAATGTTACCTGCGTAGGCAACACGCTAGGTTTTGGAACAGATCTCAAGTCTCCCTTTCCTCCTCCCTCTTCATTTTCAGTTCTCCACAGTGTTTGCCCTTTTCTATCCATCACAGTCTGCTGTTTCAGAGTGGCTGGAGTGCTGTGTATGAGTTCTGTAGACTAAAGGAGGTCTCACAGTGCTCTACTGCTGCTTTGGAGGCTTACGTTGGTTTGAAGCACACAGAGAGACCAAACACTGCTTTCTCTAAACAATCCCTCTTTTCTTTTTTTTATATAAAGCAGATGCATTATAACTGGTTTGAGGTCCCTGTTGGAAACAGTGTATGAGAGTGATGTTGCAATATCTTTGTACACTATCAATCAAGTTTATATATGTATAAAATTAGTTTTTTTGTTTTGTTAGCTTTTTGTTTGGTTTTGTTTTGTGTTTTTTTTTTAAGTTTGCTTTTGTTTTGTGTTTTTTAAGCTTGCGTTCGTTTTGTGTTTTTCTTTGCTTTTTGTTTCATTTTGTTTTGCATTGTTTTGTTTTGTTTTGTTAGCTTTCTTTTGGATTTGCTTTGTGTTATTTGTTAGCCTTTAGTTTGAACCAATGCATCCAAAATGGGTGTTTTGTTTTGTTTGTTTGTTTTCTGTTTAGTGTTGCGTTTTGTTTAATTAGCTTTTTATTTGGTTTCATTTTGTGTTTTGTTTGCTCTTTGTTTTATTTTTATTTTTTTGCGTTGTGTTTTGTGTTTTGTTTTACTAAGCCTGTAGGAAGAAAGAAGTTTTTGAGATCACGAGAGACATAAATTCAGTCAAGTGTGTCCAGACTTGTGACTGGTAGTTTGTAATCTGTCCATATGCACTTTGTGCTATGAATTATTTTTCTGTCTCCCTCATTCTTTGCAGGAGATGTACTCGAAGGGCCTGATACCTATTTCAGCAGTTAAACAAGTTCGTGCTCTGGGTGAGAATAAGTTTGAGGTGGTCACGTCTGTAAGAACCTTTGTGTTTCGGGCAGAGAAAGAAGGTGAGCCTCTTTGCTTTTCTGTCAGTCTCACGTTTCGATCCCCCTCTGTTAATCTCTTTTAAACCAATTCACTCCCACTCTCACTCTTGATCTTTTATCATCTTTTCACTCATATTTTTATCGCTTTACCATCTCTGCTATAAGATAAGATGTTCTGAGTAGATCTTCCACACTGAATCAGAGAGAGTGAAAGAGAGAGGAGAAGCCAGCCAGACTCAAGGAGAACACAATATTATGACATAGAGCTGAACTAACCGAGACGATGATGATGACAGCCGTAGATTTGATATGTACAGTAAACACCCTGTTGGTGCATATAGTTGCCACACCATTGCCTGTGTATTTCATGGGATATTTTTCTTAATATTCATTTTAAGCTGCATTAAAGCCTGATTTAAAGACTGTGAAAAGGCTGATTATGGTTTTAATGGAGAGACTCGTGGTGTTTAAGGAGTTGTCTGGTACTTTAGCTGCAATTCAGGATCAATTTAAAACCGTGTTAGCATTTAGTGGCTCTGAAGGTTAGTTCTAGTCGTGATTTATTGAGAGTGTTACTTTAATATTACAGCTAGTTCATTAATAATAGCATTTTAGCATGATTTTGTGCTATTTTTTGGTGAAAATATTTGTAGATTTGTGTGTCGTGAATCTCCAAGTACTTTCTGTGGCCACTGTATGTCTGTAGACCTAAGTATGTCATATATATTATTTGTCATTATTAGTAAATGGAGCAACTTGACTTTCTCATTACCATTAAGACTTTTTCAGACATCTTGCCGTAAAATGAACAATGTAAGGGTGAGTAGTTCACCATGAGCCAATCAATTACCATGTTATTGACACAGCCTGTGCTTTCCCCATTGCAAATTACTGTGGTAAATCTTGAGGCTAATAGCACTGCTGTGTGCCATAGTGTCCCAGAATATCAGCAAATAATGGCCTCCTCAGTACCTACTTTATCCCCAGCTCTTGTGTAATGACCTCTGACCCATGGTAAGTAAATTACTCTGAGGGAAGTCAGTTTAGGCACTGTACTTTCCACCATCAAAAAAATAAAAATAAAAATCAGAGACAGAGAGAGAGCACTGGTCCAATCTGCTCATGCATCTTTAAACAGCTTTATAGCAGTCTGAAAGAGTCATCAATCTTAAGATAAACACAAGCGAGGAGGAGAGAGAGAATGAGTGAGTGAATGAAAGAGCTGGAAGTGGGTGGTCATGGGATGAGCACAAAAGATAAGAATGAGAATTAGTGCTAGAGATCGAGCACACTGGGATCATTTAGATGAGAGTGTGTGTGTGTGAGCAAACATTCATGGCTGTATACTCTTTCTGGGGCAGTCTTCAGCTGTGCAGGCCTCTTCTTTCAAATAGAGTGTAATATTTTCGGAATAACAACTTTTTCATGGATAAAGGGGAATAATATCTTTTGCAGCCACCAATTTTCGAGGTTTGGAACTTTGTAAGTAATGGCAAAGTGCAGTTTGTAACTGTCTATGAGAATGTATTGAAGCCATGGTCACTTTCAGTGATAACTAGGACTGTCAAAGTAAATTAAAATTGTTTAATGCTGTTTCTTTTTTGAGGAACTGTCTATATAATCTGCCATCTTTGCTCATGGCGACTCGTGGGTGTTCAGTTCTGCTGTCAGGTTGTTGTGAATCAGTCACCTGAAACTAAATGTGATTTTTACACTACCATTCAAAAGTTTGAATCAGTACAATTTTTTTTAAATATCGTTGAAGAATTCTTGCTCACTAAGGCTGCATTTATTTGATCAAAAATACAGGAATATTGTGAAATATTGTTACAATAAAAAATTACTTTTCTTTTTAAAATTTGATCATAAACACCATTTATTCTAGTTATAAATATTGAAAATAGTTGTGCTGTTTTTTATTTTTATTGAAACCATGATACTTTTTTAGGTTTATTTGATGAATGGGAAGTTAAAAAGGAAATTATTTATTTGAAATAGAAATACTTTATTACATTAACATTATAAATATAACATTATAAATATTTTTAGTGTCATTTTTTGATCAATTTAATGCATCCTTGCTGAATAAAATTATTAATTTCTTACTGATCCCAAACTGTATTGCTTATAAAAATGGGATCATGCTTACCAGCTAAACTTTTGTCTTTGAGAACTGATATTAATCAATAAAAAAATAGAGAAAATGTTCTTAATGGATTTCATCATATTTATAAATATTTATAAACCCAGGTGGAATATTTAACAAAAGTAAAGTTATTTATACTTTTTTATGGTGTTATTTAATTATCACCTACCAGTGAAACTCGCAAGCAGCAGTCTTGCAAAGCAGCTTTACACATGTCCATAAAGTGTGGGCAAAGTTGTTATATTATCTCATTATTGCAGGTTTTTATTTCAGTCTTTGCATTTCCTGGGCAGTGTGAGGAATACAGAATGAGATGTGCAAGTGAGACGAGTAAAGAGCACCATTGCCAAAAATATACCCCTCTCAGGTGTCTTTAGTTTATACAGTACATATGCAGAGCACAGATGAGTGTTATTGTTTAATCCAACATATTTACATATTGTGTTCTTTCCTTAAAAATTAACTCAACTAATTAACAAATAATTATGATTAATCACAATTAAAAATGTTGGCAATTGACAACCCAAGTATTAACAAAAAATTTAGGTAGTACATAGAATAAGTGGAATTGGTAGATATGGCTACACAAACTAAACTTAAGGAGTGAAATGTGGTTATATATCTGATGCACCAACACTTAAATTGCGCCTAACTCTATTGCTGACTACAAGCACATTTTAGTGTTGTCCAAAATACACTGTATGCAAAAACACTCACCTTTAATGAAATGAGATCTCTCTCTCTCTCTCTCTCTCTCTCTCTCTCTTTCTTTCTTTCTTT